AGAAATATTGGTTTTACTAGTAGCAACCTATACTTGCAGGTAGTATTTTATTACAAAAAGTTTTTAAATGATACAACAGCAAATGATTCTGATATCTATTCTATCTGTTTTTATATATTCTACTTTAGTAAATAATTTTATCACCAGATAAATTTTTTTTACACTATGATAATAACTTTATTTTAAAAAAATAATGTTTTATCTAGAATTATTCCTCAGCTTTGCAGATTCGGTAATTACAAATAAGATCCATATGAACATCTTAACACCTATTTTTTCACTTTGCTGATATCCATATGATACTAGCATGAAGACAATGACAGCACAGTTCTTTGATGCTTTCAAGAAGGCTGTAGAAAAGTTGAAAAATTATTACCAACATGAGCTTTCAGTAATTCAAACAAAACTCATCCAACCAGTCTCAGCGTTTTTATATAAGTGTAACTACCAATCTTTAAAGAATAATGCTATTATTTACTTTAAATATAAAGACTAACCCTTATTAAAAAGTTGCTTTTCCTTGCCGTAACAAACAAAGGCAGCAAAAAATACATCAAATTCACAAGGAGATATTTAAAGGACATAATGCTTTCTAGAGATATATTTTATCCCTATGTGGCTTTAAAATACTTTTAGGAGAATGGTATATGGTAGTGATAAATAAAAATAGTTACCATAATTATTTTCAAATTTCAATTGAATTGCAATTTAATTGTGTCATAAGGAAATTTAATTACATCACAAGTTATAACTCAATTACAAATACAGCTATCTTCTCAAGATGATTGCTAACAAGAAAAAATAGAAAGCAAGCACAGAGATTATTAGAAAATTTTTAGGTTATGATTTCTCATTTTATGTTTTTAAAAGTTGACAGGCTAAGAGGTTTAAAATTTAAAATCATTGCTGCATACATACTGTCAACCTGGAGTTGCTTACAGTAATAACATTGAGTTAGCTGCAGTCTCTTAATAGAATTTAATTTAATGTATCGACATACTATTAACCTAAAATTGCATACAGTGATAATTGAAAATTCGTCAGCACCTATCAACTGTATTAGCAATATAAAACTTTTTACAGTAGAATTTGTATTATACTAGATCTAATATCAAAGAACGAGAAAGATTAGTTATTGGTGAGACATTTCTGGGTCAAGCAGTACAAGGAAAAGTTAAAAAACAAAATGCAATTACATGATTTATAACGGAAGTCAAAGATTTAGTGAATCAAGTCCTTAGATGTAAGCTCTTTTAACTATTTTACATGAGTTGGATCGAGAGTATTATAACTTATATATCCTTTTTTTGTAGTGAAATTATATATACGATTGCGACTAAGAGCTCAGCAAACATATCAGCATAATCAGAAAAAAAAGACATCAGTTGCTCGCATACGATGATCAAGCTAACTGGACAAAGTGAATATACTAGCAAGTTCTCTACTTAACTTCTGTCCTTGTCTCTAACATCTTGGGTTTTATTAGATTGCTGTAAAAGTTCAAAATTGAGGATAGGATTCATATGAAATTATAATTGCAAATTTATATATAAATTAGTTTATGTATTAATAAGTAATATATCTTCTAAACTTTTAGCATGCAATAGATAAAACAATGTTTAGAGAACAAATAGGAGAAAGAATTGCAAAAAGAGTTTACCGATAAAGTATGAGTTTTTTTGAAATATTGAGAAAATAAATAATGATTCCTAAAACTTCTGTTATCTGTGAAAAGGGAATTGCAGAATACCAATATGATGGAATTCTTGAACAAGAGAAGATTAAAAATCAAAAAGATGAATAGCTCATATCAAATGGTATAGACTTATTTATCTAAAGGTAAGCTTAATTTCAAAATCCTTTTGCTTTTTGTATATGTATGAACAAGGGCTTATCTGTCATCTAAAAGTAGATTTTAAGCCATGAAAAATGATAAAAAATAGAAGCTTGAGAAGGGGACAATTGTAAAAGACGTTCTATATAATTTGAAGAGGAAATGCAAATTTTATAAGTAAGAGATTGTTAAAGTATTCATAATATTATTAAATTCAGAATATGATTATTAATTGATGAATATTTCAATTTTAGCCTTGTCTATTCGTTCATTATTGATCTAGAAGACAAGTTCATGCAGTCTGCTTTCATCCTTGAGGAATTGACAGAAATCTGTGAAATAAAGAACATGTAAGAACCATCAGGAATCAAAAATAAACTTATAGAATACATTGCCATATTCTCAAAGGTAATCATTGCAAGATTTTGTTTTTAACGACTCGAAACATTTTATATATACACTTAATTCTCTCTACTAGGCATTAATGAAAAATATATATGAAGCATTCTACAATTCTCATCCAAGACTCAGCTGAAATTACATTCTGCTAGTTGACTTCTCTTATAAATATGTAAGAACAATAGTTTTTGACTGATAGGTTGTGAATGACTTTTCTGCTTAACTCACATATCGTATGAATAAATAAATTATGTTATATAGGGTTCAGTTTAAAGATGGGAACTGTAATTAATATGTTGCAACTTTTAATGTTGCAAACTTACGTTGCAATTAGTTTTAACCTATATATGTTGCAACTTATAATGTTGCAACATATATTGCAACCAATTTTAGCTTATGTTGCAACATTTTGTAAATTTGAAATCAATTGCTGTACCATCTTTAGTTCAGTTGTTAAAAATAGAACCTAATCTATTCATATAAGACTTACCAGAAAGTTGATTCCAAAGGTTCTAGATTAATGTCTGAAGAACTATAGACATTGCTTTTTCAAATACACTCTATATGGTGTTTGTTGGGTAAGTAAAAGTGCAAGTATTTTAATTATTTTTTATAGTTTTATCTTAAGAATGTCTTTATGAAACACAATATAAGGCAAAAAGGCTGGTTTAGCAAGCTTTGAGAAAAAGAACCAGAAAAGAACGCTGAGTAACATAAATTGTATACAATGAAAAGCAATCAGAATGAAAGATAATGATTATATTCAAATGATCAGATTGTGAAATATTGACTGGATAGCATCTGAGGCTGATTATAAGTGAGAGGGTAAACATGATATGAATTAATGAAAGAATGTGATATGAGTCTACTAAGAACTTTAAAAGATATGTTTATATGTCTGACGCATAAAGTTAACTTTTCTGAAAGTAAAATATGCAAACTCAATATTCCAGGATTTGTACATGCTGATTTTATTATTGTTATTATTATTATTATTTTTTTAACTATAATTTCTATGATAATATTTGACCCAGATTACTAATACTCTAAAATTTTTCAGGCGCTAATCTAATCAGAACCAATCTTGATTGCCTAAAGGGCTATGTGTATCAGTACATGAGAGACTATTCATATGAGATATATGCAGATATAAGCTGATTCAACAAGATATTAGATGCTCTTGTTACCATTATTTATGCTAAGGTAAAGTCTTATCTGCATATACTTCTTGATAGTTTCTCAAGGATTAATAATCTCAATTTCTATAGTTAACAATTTTACAGATAATGAGTATTATAAATACTATAGTAGTAGATGATGTAGCAAGATGGAAAAAACAACGAGAATTAAAAAGATCAAATGGTTTTGAAATTCCAAATTGCCATCCAGTTTCCAAGAAAAAAAAATAAGACTACTACTGTCTGAATTTATTATGACAACACTATCACATAACAAATATTTTTTTTTTTGTTTATGTTAATAAGGCAGATTTTCTTTGTATAGAAAAAGACAAAGTATCACATTGTTTTGTTATCAGTATAATCATTCATTTTCTCATAACTGACATAAATCATTTTTGTGACAATGATTTAGACTTTTTTGTTTCATCAGTGCAATTAGATTTTACTTCACTTCTGTCAAATTTTTATATTACATGTCTTTTTCTAATATTATGCATGTTATAAAGTTCTTGTAAACATTGGATCTTTCTTTGTACAGCTTTAGATTTGTGACAAAAATCAACAATGATTTAGTATTTGAAAGAAATGTCTGCATATCAAAATCTATTAGCATTCTTGTTTACATGCAAACTCTTGTTAGAGAATAGTATTTTTATAGTACAGATTGTTTGCTTGCAATTGGAAAAATAATTTGCAGTCTTTTTATGTAGTTTGAGAATATGTTGCAGTAAGCATTTTGAAGAATATGAGAATTCATTTTACTTTTATACATAAATGCTAGTATTTCACTTATAACAAAAAAAAATATGAATATAGCTTGTTAAATTAGCTTTAGATTAGTCGCATTGCAATAAGTCTAAAATGTTACTAAAATTTAGTTTATGGATTTAGGCATAAGTCACAGCTATATATTAAGTAAAACCTTACCCAAAATATTATTAGTTAAATTAGTTTATTTTTCAGCTATATCAGCCTCTTTTAACTCATAAGATCAAATGTTTACTTTATTTGATTTTATTGCAATCTGCTTCATATAATGTATAAAGATAATAAATTAAATATATAAATACTTAATATGGGTTAGTATATATGAAAATTATGCTACAGAATTATAAATCATATGATCAAAACCTGATTTTCATATGTAATAATCCATATATTGATTATCTAATAAGATTAATTATAGATATATATAATATTCATTTTTATATATTATATTTTATCTGTTAAAATAATTTTACTTTTTTATTTAGTTTAAATTTAAGTTTTCTGATAATAATTTATTAATATTTTAAGAAAAAAAAATATTAAAGTTAAATATATTAAAAAATTAATCTTAAAAGTAAAAAAGGTAATCAATATATAATAAATAATTAAAATATCTTTGATAAATTATTAAAATTAAAAATAATAATTTATTTTTACTATAAAAGTTTAATTTTATAAAAAAAAAAGAAAGTAATAAATTTCCTCTAATTCTTTGTTATAAAGTTGGCCAGAATTAACAAATTCCTTAATCACATGATCTGATTGTTAATATAACCTTATTGATAGAAATAATAATTACCACCAATATTTTTTTCATGATGGATTTGAATTCGATATTAGAATCGATGGGAAATAATGATTCTGACGATAATAAATTTTATGAAAATTTATATGAAGAACTCGGGTGTGTTCCATCAAGTACAGTAAAGTATCTTTTAAAATTAATTGCTTTTTTGAAAAGTTTTCGAATTCTTTTCTTTTTTTTTTTAATCTTAAACGTTTAATTAGACGGAACAAATTTCTACGGAATATAAAAAGCGCGTATTAAATTGTCATCCGGATAAAGTTACTAATGAACAAGATAAAAAAGAAGGTACTTTAAATTATGCTGTATATATTTTCCCTTTGTGTATTTGACGGACCATTTTTTTTTTAATCTTTATAGCTGAAAAACAATTTCAAAAGTTATCTGTAGCATATAAAGTTCTTGTTGATGAAAAAGAACGTAATTATTATGATAAATGGAGAAATGGATCTATCAAGATTAATTATATAATGTGGAGAGAATTAGTTGTTAAAAAGGGACATGTACGTTGTTTATAATTAATTCCTGCGTTGAAAATATAATAATATTGAAAGTATTAATGAGAAATGCATTTGTCAAAATATAGGCTGTTCATTGGCAACCACAACCTAAAGAAGCACTTTCAATCACAAATGATAATTCAACAAACATAAATTCCGATACACTTGCGGCAGAAAATGTACCGATTAATAAAAAATCCGCATGGAATTTTACTCCAAGTGGAAGTCGAGATGATTTATATGAAAAATTTAGAAATTACGAAATATAATCATTGCTTTTAAATTTTTTTTTTGTAAATTTTAATATCCAATATTATTTTAATTAATAAGTATATTATATATATATATTTAATGAAACCTATCTATAAATTATTTTTTTAAAAAAAAAAAAAAAAAAGTTAAATAAATAATCTCAAATCATTTATTTAATCTTGTTGGTGACGAGGAGGGCTAATTAACATGAAAATTTGTTCTTTTGTAATTTCCATTAAATCATTACCACCAAACCATAAAGCTTCTAAAACCCATTCAGCACTCCAACCAAGAGCTCTTACAAGAGCCACGATACAAACGACCGAGAAAACAACACCAAATACAATGCCAAGAATCAAACCTAAACCACCACCCATCAATGATAACACTAAAGGGGTAGCTAAGCCTCCAATAGCTGCCAACATACCGAATATAACAGGTCCAATAAAAAGAGAGACGAATGCTGCAAATATTAATGTACATAAATAAAAATAATGCCACACTGGATGATCTTTTCTTAATTCTCTTGGGTTCATTATATAACGAATTACTCCGTTACCATCAGTTACGCTATAATCGGTGGAAGACGATGATGATGAATTTGGTACTAATTGAAAATTATTACGTTTATTTGTGATCGGGAAAGTTGCATAATTGGAATCTTTTTCTGTTGAAAAGAGAGAGAAAGTGAAGAATTGCATGTTAAGTCTTTATAAATCACTGCCTTTTGCGAGAAATTCTTAATCTTACCATCAATAAGAACTGGTTGTTTGTTTACTGGATTCATCGTTTAAATTATTCGTAAATTATATTTATGATTTTTACTAGCCTAAGATTTTCTAATTGTCGTTTAAGAAAAGTTCCTTTTTTTTTTTTTTCTTTTTTTTTAAAAAAAAGATGGGAAACACAGAAATTTATATTTAAATTTTTTTTAAAAAAAACGCCAAATTAACTATTGTGAAAAAAAAATGCAACAACTTTCTCATCCCGCATACCTCACATGCAAAAATCAGCTATACTGAAATTCTTGTGAAATTATGAATTTACACATGGTAAATTATTCAAAAAAAAAAATGCAGACAGATTAGGAAATTATTTATTTCGGGGCATGTAAACCTCAAGTAATTCAAGTAATATTTCCCTTAATTTTTTTTGATCAAACACATGAATGTGACATTTTTAGAAATTACATGGATTATCTATTCTTTATCTAAAAATGTTGTTTATTACTTAAATACAAATATGATTTAATTCGAATTTTTTTAATGAATGCCTTTGTATCAAAAAAGAATATTAATGAATTTTTTTTAACGTTTTTATCATTTTATATTTAAAAAATATATTCAATTTTTTGATGAAAAACCTTTATAATATGTAAAGAAAATAAATCTTTCTTTAGAAATTTAGAATTAGATTTAAACAAATGATTTATACTTTAATATATTTATATCAAAATCATATAAACAACTAAATATAAAATCTTAGTATATATAATTGATCCATTTCATTTTTTTTTATGATATTAATAGTTTATTTTTATAGATTATTATTTAAAAAAATAATAAGTTAAATAAAAATAATAATATTGATAATTAAAATATACTTTATAAATTATAAATGGTTATAAATAATTTAAATGTATAAATCTACATATAAGTATAAGATTATATAAACTTTATTTAATATAAGTTTTATATATTATAAGCATAAATAAAACTTTAAACAAATCAGTAAATTTTCAGATTATTTTGAAATTTTTAGGTAAAATAAATTTTTAAATTTTGTAATATTTTGTATTAAAAGAAATTACTATTAAATAATATTTTGAGTTTAGAAATATTTGTATTAGAAAAAATATTAATAAAAATGGTTTTAATTTTTAGGATATCTATTATTAAAAATAATAAATATATTTTAAGTGGTTAATAATAAATTTATTAAAAGAATATTTCTAATATTTCTCAAACTGATCACACAGACAAGTTTGTCAAATTAATCTTTTTTTTAAAAAGTAAAAATCTGATTTTTATAAATATATTATCATTTAGATATTTATTCTAATCAATTATTTTATTTTATAATTTTCAATGAGACCTATAAAATATAAAAATAACATTTAAATTGTATTAAGATAATTGTAAAAAAATGAGTTTTAGCAAATTACATTAATTTTAAAACAAATCCTAGTATAACCTATATAAGAAATATTTAGAATTTATAAAGAGAAAATAATAAAGATATATTTAAACCTTTAAAAATATATTTTATTAAATTATATCTAATAAAATTTAATTAATTAAATATAATATTAATAAAAATCATTTATTATTATTATTAAACAATAAATTAATATATTAGAATTAGTTTTAATTAAAAATTTTATTATAACTAAAAACCTGCAACTGGTTGCAATACAAGTTATAATCTAAAAGTGCTATTAATTATAAACTTTTATATTATAATTTTTATATTAAAATTCTGCAATTGATTATAATCTAAATTGTAACCCAAAAATTTATAGTTAATAATTACAGATTAATATTTAGTTCTAATAAAAATAATATTTTTAATAATTATAATAATTTAAAAATTATAAAATTTTATATTTAAAAATTATAAGTTTTTTATTAAAATTATAATTATTTTAAATATTAATAATTTTTAATATTTATTATTTTAAAATCTTAATAATATATTTAAATTTTAAACATAATTAAAATTAAAGGTAATACTTTAATTATAAAGTTACAACTAGTTACTATTTCTTATAAAATTTATTTTAATATAAAAATTCATAAATAGCTGTAACTTAAGTTGTAATTAGTTAAAATTTAAAATTTATCTTTAATTAAAATATGATAATTTTTATATTTATATTAATTATTATTAATAAATTATTAAATAATAATAAATATAAGTTTTTTATTAATAAAATAATTTATTTATCAATAAAAATAAAAATATATAGATATTATCTTATATTTATTTTAAAATTCTTTAAAAAATGAAATAAATTTATAAATTATAACAAAAATAAATTAAAAATAAAAATAAAATATATGAATATTATTTCATATTTATTTTTAAAAATTAAATATAAAATAAATTAATCTATTATAGAAGAATTGTTATAAAATAAGAAAAAATGACATTAAATAATCAGTATATTTTATAAAATTAATTTATATATTTGATATATTTAAGATTGCTAAAGAAACTAGAAGGTTTTTTTTATTTACCAATAACAAATACTAAAACTTTACCAAAACTATATTAAAAACTATTATAATAAATACTAGAAAAACTATGATAAAACTATATTAATTAAAGATGGGAACTGTAATTAATATGTTGTAACTTTTAATGTTGCAACTTACGTTGCAATTAGTTTTAACCTATA